GCATGAAAGGAGTCGGCCTCGAGGGGAAGCGTTGCGGCCTCATGACGGAGTAAGAAAGCGACCTCGGGGGAACGCACGGAGTTATGCGCGTGCAGAGCCGGACAGGTCGAATACCCCCTCGCTGCCAGCTGCATGGGACCGGCGCGGAGGAGTCGCAGCCACGCGGGTGGCCGGAGATCACCATCGTCTCCGGAAACCACCGAAATCTCTCGTGCGTTTCGTACCCTCTGGACAACTTGAAGCGGATGTTTCTGAGGGCTCTCACTGCAAAAATTTCCTGTTTTCAGTATTGCTCAACCCCTTCTCCGCTCAGAGAGGAGATGGAGCTGGGGTGCCGACCGCAGCTGAGGGATGAGTAGCCTGTGCTGAGCGGGGTGCCGGGAGCTCAGCCTTCCTGACCTCTGCCATCAGCAGCTATAGACATCCATGTGCCCCAGAAGCTCCTGGAACTCTCCTCCACAGGGAACAAGAGGATGTGAGTGGATAAACACACACACATACGTCTGTGCGGGGTTGTTACTCCACAGAAGCTGCGGGCCACGGAGAGAACCCAGTCAATTTGAGTGCATGGGTATTGCAACTATCTGGATTAACTATGTGGATTTTGAGGGCCTAGGAAGTCGATGGGATAGGCAGGAGGCTGGGTGCTGCCCTTGCTGCCAGCCCTCCTCTGCCCAGAGGGCACGAGCGGCTCCAGCATCCCCCTCTGGTCCCTCCTCACAGGACGGGTTCCCCCATGTCACTGCCCAGCAGAGACCTCTTCCCACCAGGAAGGCAGCCACAGGGTTTCTCCTCATTCCATCCCCACTGGGATGTGCGGTGCCACATTTTCAAGTTCTCCCCAGAGGTCTCCAGTTTCCGCCCCTTCGGCTTCTCTGGGCCAAAATTTGGGGTTGCCCTGCTGCTCCTGCATCCGTCCTTCCCTGGCTGGCAGAATGGACGCTGAGGAAAGAAGCACCCAGGCACGGCTCAGCACAGCAGCCCCCTCCGGCATCGCGCCCAGCCGGCGGATACCACCGGCACTGCGAGTCGCAGCCTCCGCGTTTCGCCTGAGAAGGGATTGAAGAGGGAAAGTGTTGCTGAAGTAGCCGAGCTGCGGAGGCGGAGAAACCACGAAGCTCACAAGTGCGCCCCGTGTCCTCGCGAAGAGCGGCAGGGAGACACCCGTGTGCGGTGACGGGCGTGAGCCTGGGTGGGTTGCGGGGCAGGTGGCGAGGGGGGCCGTGCGCACCAGGCCATCTGGTTCGGTCTGGAAGTCGAGCCCATGGTAGCTTTATCTTATCTTTTTCTTGCCTGGGATATTGCAGCTGCGCAAACTGTTACTCTTTAACCTGCAGGAAGGAGAGACTCAGCGAGCACTTAACGCAGCGCAGCGAGAATCTGGAACAACGCTGAGCTTGGCGCTGCTGCCAACGGCCTCGCGGGGTCGAGGATTTAACTGCCAACGCTGTCTGAATCCTATCGCTGCGTAGTTAAGAAAAATGAGGCAGGGGACGAAAAGGTTGGTGAAAGGACCCACCTGGGGCAGCTGTGGCCCTTTCCCTGTTGACATGGAGCTGGTCTTTGTTTCCATCTTCCCACAGGAGGAATCCTACACCATGTTGATAAAGCAAAGGATTTACTGTCCACATGGGGTGGCTGGGCTGCCGGGGCCAGACCTGACTGAAGCCAAACATGGCCAAAACTGTCCCCTTCAGGGCTGTAAGGGAGCACATATACACAGCCCTAGGTGTCCTACAAACCAGGCAACCTGAATTTTCCATCCCCTACCAGCATGTGAAGCCGCTCTCGGCGTAGTGGAGAAGGTAGCACAGCTCTCCCTCCTTGCAGGCATTCGCCGTGGCTCTGAGCAGTTGGATGAGGCTTTGAGCAACCTGCCCTAGTGGAAGGTGTCCCTGCCCATGGCAGGGGAGTTGGAACTGGATGATCTGTAAGGTCCCTTCTAACCCAAACCGTTCTATGATTCTATGGAGTCCAGCAGGCAGGCCCAAACAACCCGGGGGAAGGAGCAGCTGCGTTAGGCCTTGATGGAAGCGTAGAGCTTCTGCCTGCCCGGGATTGGGCACCTCAGACAAGACTGAGGACAGAGGCACCACGTCCAACCTTTGTGGGGATCTTGGTGCTGGGTTCACAACATACCTGGGGAGGAAGAAATGGGTTCAGCCGAGCTTTGCTCCCCTTGGGAAGGCACGGACCGCCACGTCCTCCTAAAAGAGCAACCAGGAACATCAGGAGCTGAGAAAGCCGCTGTAATACAGACAGGCTTGGGCAGGAGAGAGCAAATGCTTGACAAATCAGAGGAGCATCCGATGTGCTTAACTCCAAAAGGGAAAAACAACTGCATCCTTGTGGGAGCGAGCAGAGAGGAAACATTTTCCCAGCCGACATGGAAAAAGCAGCGACTGCTGAGGAATTACCTACTGCTTCAGCTCTCTTCTCTCAGCAAAGACCAACATCACGTTCGGGTGGGATGAAAACTGCTGTGCAACCCCTCTTTCAACCACTGCCCAAACCCACTGCTGGCGGTGCTTCCCGCTTGTGCCTCCCCTGTTATCACAGCAGCTGGGAGAACCCCTGAGGCCTCCGTCAGTGAAGGGGGAGCCGAGTTAAGATCCCGGCACAGAAAATATCCTTGAGCTTTGAGCCCTGTCCTGCGGCAAAAACTGTGCAAAGCGCTCAGGGAGTCTCAGCCTGCCCCCAAATCCCTCCTTCTCCTCCCCACCCATTAGGCTGTTGCTAAAGGATCTCCACGGGGCACCATGCATGTGGCTCTTTAGCATTTATCTCAAAGAGGCAGCCGTGGCTTTCCCATAACGCGCCCTGAAGCGTGCTGGAGCTTTAACAGCCCGATGGCACCTTAGCTCCACTTTTCCTTAGAAGGAAGCGATAAAATAGCTAATTTATACTGCCCCTTAATTACACAATGCAAAGTCACCGTGTTTTTTCCTGTTCTGTAGGATGGTGAAGCAGGGAAGTTGACTGTTGGCGGGTATATGACGCTGTCCCCCTACTTTTCCTGCTCCTGCAGGAAAACGGAGACAATCTTTACTAGAAGTGTTTACACGGCAGGAACACCGAAACTGCGGGGCAGACTGCCCAGCCTGAAACACGAGCAGGACATGAGCAGCAGAGCTTCTGCCGTCTCCCAAGTAAAACAAAATGCCGGATTTTACCGAGTGTAACTGCCGAGCTCTTGCCCAAATGGCATCCAAGTGCTGTCGCCTCCAGCAGCCCGCCGGGGTGAGCTCAGCCCAGCCTGGACCGGGGGTACCCATCCCAGGGGAGCAGCACCCCCACGCGCTGCTGCCCTAGGCCCCAGGGGCGATGGAAGCAAGCGGGAGCGGCGATGCCTGCAGCACTGCGGTTGCAGGAGGCGCAGGACTTGGATCACCACTCCCCTGCTGCTTCACAGGTCGTGAGTCCTTACTGCAAAGGTGCAGAGAAGAACAGCCTCGCCGCTTGTAACAACCTATGTCAGGGAGGTGAGATGGAGCAGAGCCAAAGCAGAGTTAAGAGTGAAGGAAACAGAAGCTGGGAAGGAAAAAAAAGACCACAAAGCAGCTTGTGCGTGGTTATTATGCACTTACAGTGTTCTCAGGCGGCTTAGGGAAGCAAACTGGAATTAAGCACTAGGCATCAGCCCTGGTGCTGCACTCTGCCCACGAGCCCACGGGAGGCTGGGAGCACCCAGAGCCGGGCTGACTGGCAACAGGTGTATATGGGGAGGAGGAGGAAGAGATGGGAAGGGCTGAAGGCTGCTGACGATATGAGCACACAACTGCCTCCCTTAGTCTAAAGGTCAGGGCAATTAAAGGACTGCCTTTTGGCAGAGCTCACCTGCGTGAGCACATTTAATCATTCACGCAAGGGAGAGGGAGGCTCTCCGGCTCCTGGGGCAGGAAAGGAGGGAAGAGAAGCACAGGGGAAACAAGCACAGCTCAGGTTCCTTGTGCGCAACGAGCCGCTGCGCCCCGGAGGAGAGTCCTTCTTCCAGCAGCACCTGAAGGGGCTCCTAGAAGCAGCACTGAAAGCCCAGTGGAAGTTACCCACTTGTTTGTTTTTCGGCACATTTGGCAGGGATCTAGCCACAACTGTCCCAACCCATCGTTAGAAACGAGCCGCTGTGCTGCTGGATACTCCCTCTCGCCTCTCCAGACAGACAAGGGACTTCCCTGTGACTTCTGAGAATCGAGTTTTATTCTCCAGCAAGAGAGCAGCGACCGATAAAGTTCTCTTTATTACAGACCTACAAAAGGAGATCCATAAAATACTTATCTCTATTTTCTCTTATAAAATTATGACGGGAGCCCATGGATTAGTGGAGGAATTATACCTGTCCCAGTGACACAAGGACAAAGGGACAAAGAGGCAGGTTCCACAGACAAGGCAGAGGCATTCTCAGCTTTAAACAAACCCACCCAGGGCAGGTATGTACCCACATCTTGCAGGGAGCAGCTGCCCTCTGCTCTGGGCTATCAGATGCTAGGCAAAGGGAAAAACGTTCCTCCTCTTACACAGCAGCAGCTCCGCACGTCAGCTCTTTGCTGATAAACACAGGCTCCTAATTCCAGCCGCATTCCCCGTTTTGAGAATAAGCAGCCCCACTCCTTGGCACCCTTTACAACTGCTGCTGCTCGAGAGAAAGGGGAGTGGGAGGGAAAGGGTTACAACACTGTCCGTTTCCTAAAGACCCCAAACCAGAAGAAAACCCCAGGTTGTACAAAGTCAGGCAGCTCACATGCCCCTTGGCTCTCCCAGGAATGCACAACGTGGAAGTGTCCAGAGACAGAGGTAGAGCCACCCTCTTGCTTCAGGCTCCAATGAGTTTCTTGAGGAATGCCTCCAGCTGATCCTCGTCCTTTATCCCCACAAACTTATCCACCACGTCTCCGTTCTTCATAGCCAGCACGGTTGGTACTGCTGACACCTGGGAGCAAGAGAAACAGGGTGACAGAGACAAGCAGAGGCTGCGGGGAGCCCAGCTGCACCCAGGCCCCAAACGGAGCCCCACTGAAGAAGTGGCTATGCGGGCGCTGAGCACACATTGCTCGAGGGCAACAGGTCCACTCACAAAACACAGGCCAGCTGAGCTCCATGTTCCCGCTCTCCCTGTGGTCTCATCTCGGCACTGACTCCCATCCCGCTGCTTAAGTCGGGGCTGAGCAGCTTCTTGAGTTTAAACGACACCCAAAATTTTAAAGACAAAACCAAAGCTAATATAAAACCAACAAGGCCAAGGCTTTCACTACCCTTCCAGCACAAACTCCTCTTCTCCTTCCCTTTCATCCTGTCGTAAGCAAACCAACCCAGCCTTTTACCAGGACACCTTCAGACATGACCACCTTGGGATGTCTTACAGCCAGGGTGGCACCAGACGGGACCCCAGACAGGACTGGCACGGGAGGAGGGTGCTCCCCCATCTCTGCACAGGCAGATCTCCTGCTCCATCCTATCACGGTAATGCCACCCCCCTCCAACCTCACTTTCCTTTTCTTCTCCTGTTTGGAGTGCTTTAGCTGGTCACACACTGCAGATCCCCAGTGATTAGGTAAGATGTGAAAAAGTCCCTCTGAGAAGAGCCAGCAGGCAGCTGTGCTGCTCTGGGCATGGCTTTTTTAGCCCAGAACAAAGCTTTCTGGGAATTATCCAAGAGAACAGCAGTGGAAATGACAACGCTCCCCAGGGACCTGCTGGCTGACCAGCGACAGAAGAGACCCCAGGGACACGATCGAGAGAAGGAGCAACCAGAGCTCAGAGAGCTGCGGCAGAGGAGACGTGGTCACGTTTCTTACCCCACAGCTTTGGTGCCCTTATCTCTGCAAAGCCTCCCCCTGAAACACGTCCTGCCCTTATCTCGCCTGCTGCCTCCCTGCCAGCCCACGGAGCCTTCCTGCATGCGCAGCCAGCAAGGATCTGCAAATCCCTCCTTGGGAAACACGCCATAAGGCTGGCTTTCCTCCATCGGGAGCCTGAGATGAGAGGGACATTTTGTGCCTCCCTTCCCAGCCAGCCAGGACGGCGTGGCTCATCCTCCAGGACCGCCTGCGCCGTCTCAGCTGAAGGGATGGGAGCGCTGGGGCTGCGGCAATGCGCGATCTTCAGCTCCTCCTAGTGACAGTGGGAGTGGATCGTGCCTCATCCTCCAGGACCGCCTGCGCCGTCTCAGCTGAAGGGAGCTGCTCTTCTAATGCAGCTGGGGCTGCGGCAACGCGCGATCTTCAGCTCCTCCTAGTGACAGTGGGAGTGGATCCAGTTCCATCCCAAAAACCAGCATGGCCAACCACCACCAGCATCAGGCCAGTGCCGCCTGGGTGAGGAACGGGCGACTGAGGCACCGAATGCAGCCCACCCACAGGCCTCGGGTCCTCCACCTCCTCGCCTTCTCCAGCTGGGAGCCAATCCCGGGAATGGGTGGCGGGTCTGCAGGGCTGGGCAAGAACCGGGGTCACCGGGACACGTGTCTCTGCCCAGCAAACACCACGCTTTTGCCAGCTTCCTCCCAGCTAGCTGCGGCCAGGGCAGCCCACTGCCGGAGCATGTACTTTGTTCCGCTGCTTGGGAAGCCAGCGGCATGGGAATTTCTAGAATGCAAAGTTGGGGCCTTTCCACATAACCCACCTCCTGGCCTTTTTTTAGGTCCCATCTGCACTGAATCTAAACAAATCCTCCTCCTGTAAGAGCATTTCTGGAGAAGTCGTCAGGCTGCTTTTGATCAGCGCTGAGCACGGACAAATAAACAAACACGGCCATCCAGGCTATTCCCGGCAGCACCCGCACCGAGGGAATTCTCTCCCGTCTGAAAGTGGGGCTTTTATACAAGCTGGGATGCAACCCAGCGGAGCAGGAGGATGAATCTCACCCAGGCTTCAGAATGAGGTGTAACACAAGACCGAGCTCCGCTGCTGAACGACCATCCCTGCATCCAGAAGCTCTCCCGGGCTGCCCACCCGCAGCGGCTGGAGAAGGGGCTGCCCTTTCCCAGGGGCCACGCGCGTGGGCAACGGGCCAAGGGAAGAGATGAATCTGAGGAATTTTAAGAGAGGGCAGATAAAACAAAAGTTTTCCTTCTGCCTTTCTGCTCCTGGGGTCAGGACTGGGCTGCAGCAGCAGAGAAAGGCCACAACCAGAGAAGAAAGGCGTCAGACAAAAGGAGGAATCCTCAGAGAAAGAACTTCCGTGCTGGGCATAACTGGACGGGGAAGGGCATTCCTATCCCAGGAAATACGTCTTTGCTTTGTGCTAGGACAGCTGCTTGTGTGAAGGAATGCACCTTTAGGGGGTCTCTCCGGCTCCAAGGTGGAGACATAACCACATCCCCACACAACGCACCCCCCCTTCCCCCAAGGAGGCTGCTGAAGAGGACAATTGTGCAATTGGGCGGCGTGCCTGAGCAGGGGAATGAACACGGATGGAAGGAGACTTCCTGGCAGCTCGTGGGAGCTGTGGGGCAGCACGGATGCTGAAAACCCTTGAAACAAAAACTTTCTCAGCCTGCAGACATCTGATCCCAAATGGAATGGCTTTAAGACAAATGAATCTTTCCTGATCCCTCCCAAATGCCACCTTTGGTCCCTCTTTGCTCTCTTCCCATCAACCCTTACATTCACATCTCCTTCAGTGCCAACTTCCCAGAAGACTAAGCAAAACCAAGCACGTGCTCAGCACATGAACCGAACTTCTGCCTTGAAAGGGATGCCTCAAACTTCGAGGATCAAAGCAAAAGACACAGTGACGACCCCCAGGCCCTCCTGCAGAACAAAAACCTCATCCTGTTTGCATATAAGGCTCCAGAATGAATTTTTGGAAGCTGGTCCTTTCCCACAGTCTCAATCCACCATGGCTGCAAGACAGGCAGACCCTGCAGATGGACGCATGCACCCAGCAGGCTGTGCAGCCGCTCGCTCAGCATGTCATCCAACCTGCATGACTTGGGTACTTCCAGCCTCTTTTTAAAGGCCTCTCTTCACATGCACACGCTCTATTTGCTGTTTTCCAGCCATCAGATTATCCTCTTCTAATGCCAGCTAATTCCAGCTACTGGAAGGCTTGGAACAATACAGGCAGCGAATAAATCTCTCTTCTCTTCTCCTTGGGGTGGTTGCTTTCAGAGCCTTGCCTGCATCTATCAGGATTCACGCACTCTCTGACCACCCCCGAAACCACCTCACCCTCTTCAGCTCCCTCGAGCGACGCAGCCTTTGCCCTTGGGACGCCCGGGCTGCTGGCTCCCGAGCAGGGCATCTTCCTTGGCCTGGAGCGTGCCTGCCCGCACGCCCCCGCCGAGGAAAGCGGCAGCAGCTCGCATGCTCAGCTTCGGGGAGCTGAGAGTCACATTTGTGGGCGCCAGCTGGGTGGACATGCCACCACAGCTCAGGCAGAAGGGTCTCCTTGGGAAAGAGGGGGAGGGAGCAAGCTGTTTCCACTTCCTTCTCCTTCCAGCTTGGCTGGGTGTGGGAACGGCACAGAGCATCTCCTCCAGGCTCAACACAACAGCCTGCTCAGAAGATGGGTCACACTCTGCTGGGCAACTCGAGGAGCTTCTTGCACTAGCCCCGGCCCTGGAAGCAGGACTGCACCCACGGAGGGGGAGCAGCTCCATCTGCGTGATATCCAAGTGAAAATTAAGCACTTTCTTCCCTGTAAAACACAGCAGCAGGATGCCCTGACCCCACAGCCCACGCTGCTCTTTACAGGAGAGCCAACAGGGCTGAGCACAGTTGTCAGAGAGATTTTAGCGTTTCTTAAACTACCTCATCACTGACACAAGGAAAAGATAAATAAATCACATAAACCAAGGCTGTGACCTTCTCCAGTCACTCTGCTTCTTCCTGGCAGCACAGGGAACACACACAAAAGGTATGTGAAACACTAGTGTAAGCACCAAGGTTTGTGCCTGTCAAGAGTGGGGCGCACACCCGTTGCCTATGTGCGTTCCCCGACCTGGCTTCCACCTGTCCAAACAAAACCCTCCATGGCTCCTTGTGCTGCAGTTTACAGACAGGACATTATCACCCAGCAAGAAATCCTGGACAATGAAGGGAACAAGGACAGGCTGGTTGCACGATGAACAGCGTTCAAGAGTGGAACAGACTGGGGCAGGTTAATTCACGTTCCTGCCCCGCACCTGAGCGGCCCATGTAAAACGCTGAGGGCTCCTCAAGGGCAGGCAAGAGTTTACATCAACACCTGCAAGGCTCAGGGACACCTTTCTTAGAGGTGGGGATTTTGAACACAAGCAGAAGAGCTGGAGGAGAGCCAAGCAGTGAAATCCATCTACTAACAAGTGACCTGAGGGATCAGGAACGTGTAGGCACTGAGTTACCCTTCCCTACCAAGGTCACTGTCACACAGGCACACCTCTCCCCAGGGTGGGACCTTCATCTCCCTGCCAGCAGAGGAAAGCCTGTGCTCTTCCAGCTCCTACCTCGTACTCAATAGCAAGGTCTGTGTGATCGTCAATGTCCACTTTGGCCATCAGCACCTTCCCCTCCTGCTTCGCCACCATCTTCTCTAACCTGGGGCCCAGGATCTTGCAGGGGCCACACCACCTGATGGAGAAAAAGGGGAGGGTTAGAGTTAGCAAGCGCCACAGCGACCACGGAAGGCTCGCTGGTGCGCCAGTGCCTTTACCACCCTTGCCATTCCATTCAAGATCCAGCCTGGAAACGCTATTCCTGAACCATGGCTTAAAAACCAAAGGTGCTGTCAATGGGATTTTTGGGGGGGTGGGTGTTAAGTGGAAGAAGAGGTCCCCATTCAGCATTCACGGTGCTTTTGCTGTCATTTTGACCACACTGAAGTCTGCTCTGCCAGCCTCGGTCGTCCTCCTGCCCCCTCTTCTCGGCTGTTCACCCCTACCCTGCTTTGTGTCCCCGCTGGTGGGTACGTGTGGAGCTGTGACCTCGCTGACCACAAAGCTGCCCTAGAGTGAGTGTCACTGCCGGGCGTGGGAGTCGCAGCCCACACTCAAATCGGTGTATGCCAATCACCAGACCATAGACTTCCCCTCTGCACTCCCTGCAGGGTTTACAGAAATTCCCCTTTAGCTGCAAAACTTGCAGAGGCATCACATCTGTTGCAAGAGAGACCCCCTATTCCAAACTCAAGTGCAGCAACAGCAGAGTTTGCGAGGCCCTGTACACAGAAAACACCCACTGCAGCCTTTAACCACACCAGTTAGGAAGGCATGAACTTACTCCGTCCTAGAAAGACATGAGTTAAAGCACTGAGTGCCTTTTCCTTTTAAAACCGAAGCTCTCCTAAACTTTGTTCCTCCTCAGCCTCCTTCTGAATCAGGTTTCAGGCTTTTAATTATTTATTCTGCCCTCCCTGGATGATCCCAATTAAAGTTCATTTGGGTTTGTCAGCTTGGTCTATTTAGAGCAGAAGTTTTTGGGCCGTTTCATACTCTGGCCAGAATCAGCCACAACAGGCTCATGTGACAGCACTGCAGGACCATGAAAATAAACTTGAGAACAGAAAGATAATCAGTATCATTAATCCAGCAGATAACATCTAGGAATATTTTTACTAGATACAGCAAGAGGACAACATTTTTATCGATGACACATGCGGCCGCTGGTACCACGTGGCTGTTATTAACACATAAAGGCACTCGGTGTCAAGAACCCGGCCCCAAGAGCCCGCAGCATGAGAAAACTGGAAGGACAGAACATGACGGTGCAGGGCCATACCAAGCGCAGCGTTCTTCCGTGGCTGTTAATGTAACTTGTTGTTTTTAAGAGGCTATTTAATCCACAAAGCTAAAAAAGGAGGTATCAGAGCTTTCTTCCAATCTTGAGGTGTTTTTTGAGGGATGATGCAACGCTGGGGCCAGGGTGACACCCAAGCACTAGGGAGGTGCAGCCACGCCGCTGCGGGGAACGCCTTCCCCGAGGAATTTTGTTTTACGCTCCTGCAGGGTGCGGCTACACTCAGAGCGGTGCAACCCGATGGGTGAAACCTCTATGGATTGCGCCGTAGGGGCAGAAGCACCTTTTAACACCAGGTGCCTGGCAGACGGGTTGGCAACTCTGCAGGTTGGGAAGCCCTCAGGCATACTGTGTCCCTAGGGCACCCGAGTGCCACTACCTTGGGTAAGCGGCAGGGACACACCTGCACATGTGATGGCACTGAGGGGCACAAGAGCCGTGGGGCAGGGGGGAAAACTTACTGCGCGTGGAAGTCCACCACGACAGGTTTGGGGTTGTTCACCACCCGGTCCTGGAAGTCGCTGCCATCCTGCACGTTGAAGGTGCTCCTGCAGACTGCTGAAGTGCCAAAGGCTCTGCTGTGGGGTGCCAGGGGGGCACGCGGTGCTAGGGGGCTAGGAA